TCTGCCTCGGCTGGGGCCGGCAGAGAGGCAGGCCCAGGCAGCGCTGATCCAGGCGACGACGCGGCCGCTCGGGCCGCCGCCACCAGCGCAGCAGCAGCAGCAGACGCGGCGAGCTCGGCCTCGGGGCGTGGTGCAGGCACTGAGGCAGCACCGGGGGCAGGCGACGAGCCCCAGGGGGTCCCTGCCTAACTGTTTCTGGAGACCTCTGTGATTCTGGCGGCAGGATGCCGAGCGCCCCCAGTGTATCGAAAGGTGCCAACAGACCCTGCCAGCTCCCATCCTTTCCAGCTGCCTGCCTTGACTCGTCCACTCTCCCCGCACCCGCCGCTGCCCACTTGCTGGAGCACTTCGCTGCTTGTGAGCTTGCAAGGAAGGACAGAGAGCAATTGTCGCTGGGAACCCAGAGCAAAGCAAGGGCTGGGGCAGGGAGGGGCAGGCGGGCGGCGGTGTTGGGCGCCGCCTCGGCGCCGCGCGGCGCGGCCCCTCACTCCGCCTTGAGCTGCTGGCTGTTCTGCAGCACGTAGCTGCCACCTGGGTTGGCCACCTCCACCTGCACCCAGCCAAGCAGGCAGGCAGTCGGGCAAAGCAGGCAGCGGTGTGCGGGCGAGCCGCAAGGGCACAGGCAGGGCAGCGAGTGCGCACATGCCACGCATGGCTCGGGCAGCCCCAGAGCACCCCAGCAATGCCAGCCCCCGCTCGGCCCTGCACGGGCTGCTAGGCGCCTTCCACGCCCTGCCCTGCCCTGCCCCGCACACCCCTGCCCAGCCTCGCTCAGACCAGCACAGGCTCGCCCCTTCCCTTTCCAGCCCTGCCCCGCCCCGCCCTGCCCCACCCCACCCCGCCCCACCTGGTACACTTGGTCTGGCATGGTGCCGTGGCTGAGCTGCAGCTTGAGGTGGTGCGTCACGCCGCCCGCCGCGCCGCGCTGCACCTTGGCGCTCAGCACCTGCGGGGCGGGACAGGCGGTGGCGGCGGCGCTGGGTGGCGGCGTGCACGGAGGCGGCGTGGTGCGCAGGCGGCGGCGTGTGGCGACCTGGTGCGCAGGCGGCGGCGTGTGGCGACCTGGTGCGCGGGCGTGTGTTGGGGCGGGGCTGGGGCAGCGGGCTCCCTGGCGGCGCAAGCAGCAAGCACATGAGCGGGTCGCGCTGGCAGGCCCGCCTGGGCAGCCATGCCATGCCCAGGGCCTCGCCTTCTTGAGGGTGAAGGGGAAGAGGGAGTTGCTCTGGGAGCTGAGCTGCTGCACGGCATAGGCCGCCACCTCATCCACCTCGGGATTGTCGGGGAACTCGTCCGCGGCGGCGGCGGCGGCGCCGCCGGCCTGCAGCGCGTGGGCACACGAGGGCCGGCGCAGGGGCACAGGGGCGCCTGAGTGGGGTGAGTCGAATTAGTGGGGTGGGTGAGGGAACGAAGTGGGAGGGCCAGGCGCCGGGACACGGCGAGAGAGGGAGCAGGAGCGGGACGGCAAGGAGCGAGGCGCCCCGCCGGGAAGCCGCCGGCCGCTGCGCCCTTTGCCGGGGGCCCGGTGCCCGCCGGGGCGGCGAGGGCTGCGCGGTGCGGCTCGCAGAAGGGTGTTACAGGGGTGCGAGGCGGCTGGAGGGCGGCCCAGAGAGAGAGAGGCGCAGCATGCGCAAGGCACAGCACGGCGCAGGAGCACAGCGGCAGGGGAGCAGGGAGCTGAAAGGGGAGGCCCAGGCGCTGCGGCGCGCGAGCGGGCATCGCCCCGCTGCGCGTGCGCTGGCGCTGAGCTGGCGCTGTGCTCAAGCTGAGCTGGCGCTGCTCACTGCACCTGGGCAGCGCTGATCTCCTCCAGGCTCGTCAGCTCCATGGCCCCGCCATAGGCCGGCAGCTTCTCTGCAGGCGGGTTGCGCGGCGCGGCAGTGGGGATGGAGGGAGCGGGCACACGCAGCCGGCACACGCGTTTCGTTCCGAGGCGCGGCCTGGGCCGGGCCGGACGCCAGCGGCCGCCGCCCGCCGCAGCCCTGGCTGGCGGGCTGTCGCGCCGCAGGCGGGCGCGCCGCCCAGTGGGCAGGCAGGACGCTATGGCAGGCAGGAAGCTGCGGCAGGCAGGAAGCTGATGCGGCAGGCAGGAAGCTGCGGCAGGCAGGAAGCTGATGCGGCAGGCAGGAAGCTGCGGCAGGCAGGAAGCTGATGCGGCGGCCAGCCCTCCACGGCGGACCCACCCCAGATCTTGGCCTCGTAATACTTGGTGCCGCCGCCGCCCTCCACCCGCAGCTTGAGCTTGTAGTTGGTGCCTGCAGGCAGGCGGCGCGCAGGCCATGCAAGGCCAGCAGGTGGGTGCGGCGTCGGCACCAGGGCTGGGCGCTGGGCGGGAGGGCGGGAGCGGCGCGGCGCGCGCGCGGCGGCCGCAGCAGGCGGGCTGCTGCTGCAACGCGCCCGGCTGCGGGCTGCTGCCAGCCAGCGGGGCTTGTGTCGCAAATTACTTTGCAGATATGCAGACTGCAGACACAAATGGCAGAAGAATACAGCAAGCTGCCCACCTGCCACCACCTGCGTCTCAGCCGCCAGAACCTTGACCGCATCGGCAGGCACCCCCAGCTTTGCCACCGCCACGCCCTTGGCCGCCTCCACCGCCGCGCTGTTGGCGCTGTCGTCCACCTGGCGGAAGCCGCCTGCTGGAGGGGTGGAGCGCAGCGAGGGAGGAAGCGAGGGCGCGTGGCGAGGGAGGCAGGCGGCAGGCAGAGACGGCGGGTGGGGTGGGCGGGCGGGGGCCTGCCGCGTGGCCCCCCGGGGCCGCTGGCCGGCCTGCTGGTGCCCGGAGCTGGCTGGCAGAGAGTGCAGCGCGGTCGGACTGACTCGGGGCGGCCTGCCGGGCCACCAGGCCGCGCTTCCACGGGCTCCCCGGCGCTGCCGAGACTCCCAACAAGCTGATCAAGCAACCAAGAGGCCACGCACCGAGCATGGTGCCGGTTCCGTTGGCAACGGGCCACGCAAACGCCCCAAACGCCACGACACTGAGGGAGATAAGCACCAGCTTCACTAGAGGAAGCATGAGTATGCCAACTGGCCGGCACGCCCTTCGTATCTACGCTGGTGTAGACAAAGCGACGTGCTGTGACTGGGCAAAGCAGGGAAGCGTTCACTCTGCCCAGAGTCTGTGCGAGCAATGCACTTACTGGCGTAATTCTTTGTGCGCCACACAGTTCGACCAGCCCGTGCGCCACGCTGCTTTCAACGCCCAGCACATGCCGCCGCAGCCCCGACGGATGACAGCTCCAAGCCCTTCAACCGCTGGCTCTTGGCCTCGCAGGCCACCAGCAGCGGGCAGGGTGAAGCGCTTGATAACGACGAGCCCCTTGAGCTCTATGGCAGCCCCGCGTTTGGCGCCCCAACAGGTCAGGGCGTCACTTGGGAATGGCAGTGCTGCATGTGTTGGGTGTCCCAGCACGTTCTGCCGTGAACGCCACCTGCAAGGCGTCAGGGGCAGGAAATGGCAGCAGCAGCAGCAGGCCCAGCAGCGGCAGCGGGCGAGCGGCATTGCCGATGCATCTCAGCAGGAGCAGCGGGTTGTGGGGATGGTGCGCACGTCTGGCCGCTCTGCTGTTGCTCTGCACTGTTCCTCGACTGACCTGCTGGCCAGCGATGAGGCAGGATGGCTAGAGAGCATGCATTGTAATTCTTTTGTCACATTCAGAGAGTCAGATCATCAGAGTGAGTGTGGCGCCATGGCGTCGGTGGCAACAGCAATGGAAGCTTCCTTGCTTGCGGACAGGCCAGGCATCTCAGCTTCGGGACCTTTGTAAGACCTCAAATTGGCTTGATGAGCGTGGTCAGGTGACACAGGCGCCGTGCACTCCGGCATTCCACATGGTCCGGGCATGGGCCGGGCGGCCAGATTGTTAGTTGTTCTGGCCGCAATTCCTCCAGCAGAAGGCTCCCTGATCACTGGCTGGTTTTGACTGGCCCTAGAAGTTGTTCCCTCAAACCCTCCCCCGACACCCCTGCCGCCCGCCCCCTAGCCCGTGCTGCCGGCGTTGTGCGCTGGAAACTGGGTCCTTCCTGCAGCTTTTGAGAGGCAAGCTGCGCCGCTGGGCCTTTGCCGCTGCCTCCTGCAGCCGCTGCCACCAGCCGGCGCCTCCCCGACGCCCCCACCCCACCTTCCCTCGCTTTGCCTGCCCCCCTTCTCGCCCCGCAGAAGATGAGCGCCACAGCGGCGCACCTTGCGGTGCGGCAGGGCGACCTGCAGCAGCTGCAGGCGGCGCTGGCGCAGCACCCCGAGCAGGCCGCCGCTGACGACGCGCACGGCTGGGCGCCGCTGCACGACGCCGCGCAGCTGGGCAGCCTGGCCTGCCTGCGCGCCCTGCTGGCGGCCGGCGCCGACGTCGACGCAGCCAACAGCCGCGGCGCCACGGCCCTGTTCCTGGCGGCGGGCAAGGGGCACGAGGGCTGCGTGCGGGAGCTGCTGGCGGCCGGGGCCAGCACCGGCGCGGCAGAGGCCACCGGCATGACCCCACTGCACATCACCGCCGGCATGGGCCACCTGGGCTGCCTGCGCACGCTGCTGGCGGAGGGCGCGGAGGTGGAGGCCGCCGACGGAGAGGGCTACACGCCGCTGCTGCTGGCGGCGCAGCGGGGGCAGGCGCCGTGCCTGCGCGCGCTGCTGGCCGCGGGCGCAGACCTGACGGCCACGGAGCGCAGCCTGGGCTTCCAGCCGTTGCACCTGGCTGCCGCCAGCGGCAACGTGGCCTGCCTCAGGCAGCTAATTGACTCCCGGGCGGACCTGGAGGCAGGGGACAGCGCTGGCAGGAGCGCCCTGTGCTGGGCGGCAGCCAAAGGCCAGCTGGCGGCCATCCGGTGCCTGGTGGCCGCGGGGGCGGCGCCGGCCGGGCCGGGCGGGTGGGGGGCCTCCCCCCGCGAGGTGGCGCTGCGGGAGCAGCAGCCGGCCGCGGCGCAGCTGCTCCAGGAGCTTGAGCGCCAGCAGGGGGGCGGCAAGCGGCAGCCGGGTGCGCCCCTGCCACGCCTGCTTGGTTGCTTCTTTCTGTTGTTTTCCGGGTGGTGAAGCGCCTGCTTCCGTGGGGGCCTGCGTGCAGCGGGCAGCTGCGACTGTACCCTGTTGGATGGATGGTTTGCGGCGCCTCAGTTGCCAGTCCCCTGCTTTTGCTCCCTGCAGTTCCAGACGGTGGCAGCTCGCAACAGCAGCACCAGGAGCAGGCGGAGGCTTCCACCTCTGAACAGGCGGCTGCAGCAGCCGAGGCGGCCGCCGCCGAGCTGCTGGCAGAGGAGGAGCGCGAGGAGGAGCAGCAGGCGGCCAGGCAGGCGGCCAAGGCCGCCAAGCGGCAGCGCCAGAAGGAGCGGCAGCGCCAGCGGGCTGCTGCAGCGACGGAAGAGGCGCAGGAGGAGGCAGCAGGGGAGACAGCGGCGCCAGAGCCGCTCCCAGCGCCAGAGCCGCTCCCAGCGCCAGAGCCGGCTGGGCCGCGGCCGGATGCGGCGGCGACAGCAGCGGGCGCAGGCACGCCTCAGGCAGCCGTCAGCTTTGCTGCCTCCCCCTTGCCTCCTCGCAAGGACTTGGGCAGTCTGCTGTGCTCGGCTTTCTCGCCCTCCGCTGCAACAGACGACGGCCAGGGGGCCGTCGGCGCACGCCCTGCAGCGTCGGCCGGGGTGGCGGCGGCGGCAGCCAAAGGCAGGACCAGCAGCGAAGTCAGCGTTGAGCTGGCGCACCTACTGAAGCAGCTAGGCCTGCACGCCCAGGTTGGAGGCCAGCCAGCACCAGAGAAGGGAGCGCCTGGCAGCGCTGCCGCGGGCGTGGAGCCAGCCTCCGGCCCAGCAGCAGCAGCGCCGGCGGCGGCGCCTGGCCCCGGCCCCGGCCTCGCGCCGCGGTCGGCGGGGCAGGCCGACAGGGGCAAAGCAGGCAGCAGCGTCAGCGCTGAGCTGGCACAGCTGCTGCAGCAGCTGGGGGTGCTGCCAGCAGAGGAGCGCGCTGGCCCTGCTGCCGCCTCCTCCCCGCAGCCCCGCAGCAGGGCAGCACCTGTGCCTGTGGCGGTGGCGGCAGCCAGCATAGACAAGGCGCCAGAGGCAGGCAGCCCTGCGCCGGCTGCAGCGGGAACAGCCCAGGAAGCTGCTGCTACGCTCGCCTCTGCCCCCAGCGGTCTGACGCCCGCCGCCAGTGGCCTGACCCCCGCCACCAGCGGCCTGCCCCCTGGCCTGCTCAGCGAGCTACTGTGCCCCATCACCCAGGAGCCGATGCGTGACCCCGTGGTGGCGGCGGATGGCAACCTGTACGAGCGAGCCGCCATTGAGGGTGGGTGGGCGGCCAGTCTGGCTGCCTGGTCGGTGGCTGGCTTGCCGTCTTGGCGCCGGTTGGCTGAAGCCTCTCCACTATGCCCTTTGCAGCCTGGATTGCGCGCCAGCAGGCCACGGGCCAGCCACCCTGCTCCCCCCTCACCAACCAGCCGCTGGAGCACTTGGTGCTGACGCCTGTGCGGGCGCTGCGAGTGATGGTTGCAGACCTACTGGCGGCGGGCCTGCTGGAGTGACGAGCCTGTGTGCCCCGCCCTCCTCCAGTGCTGTTTGGCAGAACTGTTACATCCCAGCAAGCCGTGGCCGAGGGTGTGAGGCTGGTGCAGCGGAGGCCGGCCGGTGGCGCCTGCTGCCCTCCTCTATGACCACCCGCTGGGCACCTGGGCCCGTGATTCCCGTGCGAGCGCTGGTGGCAGCCTGGTGGCGGGCGCCCAGGCGGCAGAGCTGCTGCGGGGAGCAGGACGGCGGAGCTGGCTGCTCACTGGCAGCAGCCTTTTCATGAGGGGGGAGCGGCGGTGGCTGCGGAGGCGGCGGAGGCGGCGGCAGCTAGTGACCGGAGCAGCCCGCTGCGCTTTCAGCCTTCGGCAATCATCTTGGGCATCTGCAGAGCCTTGTAAGACAGCAACCGGCTCGTCTGACTGCCCAGGGAGCCGCCACCTGGCCTTTGGGGGCACTACTGCATGGGCATCGCCAAAGCCTCCAGAACCTGGCTCCTCGCTGCAGCATTCCGCCTTCATTTTACTGCTGGTTAGGTTGCCTTAAGGGCGCCCAGTGGCTTGCTTGCTGTTCAGCCATCCCCGCCATGGCGGCTCGGCGCTGCGGGCCTCAGGGCCTCTGTCATCGATCCATGCAAGCCCTGCTGCTGCTGGCAACAGCCTCGGTGTGCGCAGGTGAATTGGGGCTGGTCGCCGCGCCACGCGGCGTGTGGGGGCAGCAAGGGGGTATCAGCCTTCGAGAACCGCGCCCTCTCCCATCCTCACCGCCTCCGCACCCTGCCCAGGGCGGCCTGTGATCGCCGTCGGCCCGCTGGCAGACCCGCCCGCGCCCCCGCCACCACGCCGCTGCCGCCGCTCACGCTGCCGCTGCCTCGCCGCCGCCTGCCTGCAGCCTACATCGAGCCCTCCAACTCGCCGCCCGGCGGCCTGGACGTTGCCAACACCCCTCAGTTCATCCTCTTCACGGTGGGCACGCTGGAAGGGCAGGGCCCTGAGCCGGAGTGGCCTTGTGCCCCTGCCGCCTGTGCCCCTGCGCCGCCCCTCAGGCCTGCCCTGCTGCCTGCATGCCGCCCACCTCCTCGCACCCTCTGGCCTCCTCATGTGCTGCCTGCTCCCCTGCTCTGCACTCCCATCCTGCCGGCCTCGCCTGCCCCTGGCGGCTCTGCCCTCGCCGCTTCTCACCCCGCCCTGCCACCCGGGACCCTCCCTGCAGCACGACGATGCGGTGCTGAGCTCCACCCACGAACTGATGAAGTCGGTGACAGACGGGCGCTCGTTCAGCGGCTGCCCCGCCACCGCCACCTTGTTTGTGGCGACGCAGATCGGCAACGGTGGGTGGGGCCGCCGCCGCAGGCGTGCCTGGCGGGGAGAGGCTCCACTAACGGGAGGCGCCTGCCAGCGCCCGTTCCCTCTCCCTCCCACCCGCCTGCCTCCCCGTCCTGCCCGCCCCCTGCCTCCCCTCCCGCCCCTCCCCCTGCCTGCTCTGCGCCCTCGCTGCCTGCTCTGGGAACATCCTCTCCCACCTGCCCACCTGCCTGTCTGCCTGCCTTGACTGCCCGCCTGCCTCCCCGCACCGCCCCGCAGACTGCGACCTAATGATGGACCTCTACAACTCTGGCTACGAGGTGGCTGACCACACGCAGACCCACGAAACGGTGAGGCAGCCGCTTGGCGCGGCGTGCGGCGGCGCCGGGTGGGCGGGTGGCAGGCCACGCGCAGGGCCGCGGCGCGGCGGCCTCGGGCCTGGCTGTGCGCCGCGGCGGGCCCACGCACGCGCCTGCCCGCTCCTCGCCTCCCCTCACCTCGCGTCACCTCACCCCACCCCACCGATCCACCCACCCCGCCCCACCCCACCCCACCCACCCTGCAGCTCAAGGGCCTGAAGGAGTCGAAGCTGGAGGAGGAGGTGCTGGGGGCGCGGTCCGACCTGGTGGCCTGCGGCGTGCCCCAAGGCGACGTGGCCGGCATGCGCGCCCCCTTCCTCAACTCCGACGCCGCGGTGCGCCAGGTGCTCAGCGAGAACGGCTTCCTGTACGACAGGTGTGTGTGTGTGTGTGTGTGTGTGTGTGTGGTGGATGGGTGTGCGGGTGTGGGTGTGCGTGGATGTGTGGGTGTGCGTGTGTGGAGGGGGATCTTTGCTGTATGTGTGGGTGGCTGCGTGGGGGGCTTGAATGCGGCGTGGGTGTGGCGTGTGGCAGGCGGGGCAGGGGTTGCGCCAGCTGCGCGAGCTGCCTTGCTGCCCGCGGGAGGGGGGTGCAGGGAGGCGGCAGCGGCAGGTACTGGCGCGTTGGCCCGGGCCCAGCTGCAGGCATTGTTCGCCCCGCACCCCAGCCTGAAACCCCACCCACCCTGCTGACGTCCCCGCCACCCCATGCCTGCCTCCTGCCCCGCAGCTCTCTGATTGAGGAGGGCAAGGGCGCCAGCCTGTCCAAAGGCATGGGCGACCGCGTGTGGCCCTTCCAGATGGATGGCGGCGTACCCATCAACTGCGACTGGTGGGTGGTGGGTAGGCTGGGCCCCCGCCGACGGGGGCGCCCTGGCGCTGCTGGCAGCGGACAAGGCCCCCCGGGCGCCCCTCACGTGTGGCCTGGCGCCTGCCCGGGCCACGCAGGGCGGCAGCTGCGCCACACGCCCTGCTTCGGGCAGCCCCGGCGGGGCGGCGCAGCCCCGCCACCACCGGGCAGCTTGTGTTTGCCACTGTGCTTAGCCCTAATGTTGCCCTGCCGCTCCCTCTGCCCTGCCCCCCAGGTTTGGCGACTCCCAGCAGTGCAGCACCTCTGAGAGCTGGCCCGGCTTGTTTGAAGTGCCAGGTGCGCTGTCCTCCTCTCCTGCTCCGAGCCGCCGGCTGGGGTTCGGCCGGTGGAACAGAGCGCTGCGGAGCCCGCGCGTGCCTGCTGACCTGGCGCTGGCTCGCCAGAGCTGCCCTGCCTGCCTGCCTGCCTGCCCTGCCTGCCTGCCTGCTGCGGCGCCGCCGGTCGGCCTGCCTGCCTGCCCGCCGGCTGTCCCCCAGCGCGCCGCCTGCCCACCCATGCCCGCCCCTGCCTGCAGTGTGGCAGCTGCTGAACGACGACGGCGTCTGGTCCATGGATTACGGCCAGTGAGTGCCTGCCTGCCTGCTTTCTTTTTTTCCACCCCACCCTATCAAGCAATGACGCCGCGGCGCCTGCTCGCGGCGCTGCCGAGTGCTCGCACGCACGCACGCATGCACGGAGCGGAGCGGAGCGGAGCAGCACCCTCACTCGCTCTGCGCTGGCCGGCTGCCGCCTGCACGCCCCCGCGCCTACCGCCGCCCGTACCGCCCGTACCGCGCGCCCTGCAGGAGCCCCAGCGCCGACGCGTACCGCGTGCTCAAGAACGCTTTTGATGCCGCCTACTCCGGCAACCGCGCCCCGCTGCCCATCTTCATCCACACGCCCTGGCTGGAGGAGCACGCCGGGGATGTGAAGCGATTCCTGGGTGAGGCTGCTGCAAGGGGTGGCGGCGGCAGCGGCGGCGGCGGCGTGTGCGAGGGTATGGTGGTTGGAGGGCGAGGAGGGGTGCTGTTGGTGCGACACGCCGGGTCGCCTCTCTGCAAGCAGGGCTGGGTTGGGGCAGGCGGCAGGCACGTGCCGCCGCCTCTCCTGCGGGCCGGCCCCTTTCCCGCGCTCAGCAGCAGCCCTCGCCTCATTGCGTCCACTGCCCGCCGCTGCCCACCCCCCTCCCTCCCGCAGACGAGGTGTCTGACCCCGAGGCGTACCCCAATGTGTACATGGTCACCATCCGCCAGCTGCTGGCCTGGATGCAGAATCCCGTCCCCGCAGACCAGCTCACGCCAGAGGCGCTGGGCTGCGGCCTGCCCGGCGGCGCCCCCGGCACCGGCGGCGCCAGCGGCGGCCGGACCGACACCGCCTCCCCGCCGCCGCCCGACGGGTCGCAGCAGCAGACCGCAGCCGGCGGCAGCGGCGAGGACGGCGGCGAGGGCGGCGTGAGCACCTACGCCGGCGACGGCAGCAGCGAGCCAGTGCCGGAGCAGCCTCGCTCGGCGGCCGATGCGCTCGCAGAGCTGGGGTTCAAGCTGAACCGAAAGATGCGGTGAGCCAGGAACCCGGCACGCACCCAAAGCCCCCGCAGCCCGCAGCTGCGCCGATGCCAGCCGGCCCGGACCGCTCGTGCCAGCTGGCTGGCCAGCCGGACGCCATTGCTCCCTGCCGCTGCTGCCGGCTTGTCGGGAGGCTGGGCCCTAGCCCTGCCCGGCCCCGTGTTCTCTGTCTAGCTTTCAGCACCACACCATGCACGGTTTTGCTGCACAGCGCATGCCTCCGACACCCTGGGCTGGCGGCTGCTGCTGCCGCAGCCCGCACACTGCCCCAAGCAATCCCACCAATTCCGCTTGCAAATTCATGAGCCCATTTCTGCGTGATTCTTCATTTCTCCTCCCCGCCGCTTCTTCTTCCTCTGATCGCCCTGCCAGCCGAACGCACCCGCATCCCTACCCGCAAAGTACCTGTTCAGCCCAACGTACTCGAGTGTAGTGTAGTGCCAGTTCTTTATGCAAATGGAACCCTTAACTAACTACAGTGAAGTTCTCTGTCGGAACTGCCTTCAACGCTCGCCAGCCGCCCGCGCTGCAAGATCACGCAGAGTCTTGGAATCAGGGGTCATAGGCATACAGATGGCAGGTTCGACACGTTAAAAGGCTGTGGCCCTTCGAATCAAGCTTCCGTGTTGCCAGACAGGAATGCCAGCCCGCAGCGGTGTCAGCGAGCGGCAGGCGGCGGTGGCGTCGCAGGCTGGCACTCCCAGGGCGGCACCCTCACCCTTGGCACTTGCAAGCGTCATTCGATCATCTGGGTGGGCCGCGCACTGTTTATCGCCCGCTGCAAGGCGAACGGGGGAAGGTGGCGGCCACCGTGGCCCAGCAGGCATTTCATGGCGGTGGTCTGAGAGCCCAAGCTACTCCTATGTGTTCCGGATTGAGTCACACCGGCATGGCTGCCCTGGGAGGAGCTCGTTGCACCTGGGTGGTGCTCTGCGCCGCAGCCCAGGCGGCGTTTGCCTGCCGTGCCTGCGGCTCCAGGGGCCTGCCGTCCTTGTCGGGACACGTGGGCAGGAGGGCAGCCTTCCTGGCCGGCGCGAGCCCCCCGCTACGCCTGCAAGCCCGCACCGCGCGCCCCGCGACCAGGGCGGCAGCAGCACCCCCCGTGCAAGCGTTGGCGCTGGGCTGGGTTGCAGCGGGCGCGGCGCTGGGAGGCTTGTTTGTGGGCCTGCTGGTCGCCAAGTGGGCCCAGAACCACTTTCGGAACGAGTTCGATGAGAAGAAGTCGACGATCGAGAACGCGCTTCTGCGGGCCAAGGTGCGGCCGGGTGGTGGCCGTGCCTGGAGCGGGGGTGGAGCGGGTGTTTGTGGGTGCGTGTGCGGGTGGTGTGCCTGTGTGTGTGTTTGGGTGTGCAAGACTGGACGCCGCAGCTGGAGGGCGCCGCCCGTGGCTGCCCGCCTGGCGGTGGCCTGGCGGACGACTGGAGCACCGAGGGAGCCTGGCGCCTGGCTGCTGCAGGTCGAGGAGCTGCAGCAGATGGTGGGCAAGTATGAGCCCCTCGCCTACAAGAGTGAGTGCCAGCCTGTCCAGCAGCAGCAGTTAGGGTGGTCCTGTGACAGAGACGACCCAGCAGCAGCAGGTCGCCACGCCGCGGCAGCGCAGCGCAGCAGAAGCAGGGAGCGGCAGGCGGGGCTGTTTGATGCAGGGTTCTGAGGCAGTGCAGCGGATCTCCAGGGCAGCTTTGCGTGCCGCTGACGCCGGGAAGGGCCGCCGCCCTGCTACTGGCAACTGCTGGGAGCTGGTCTGCAGGGTATGCCAAGCTGTGGGCATGGTTGGTGGCAGGTGCCTGACCGCCCCTCGCTCTTCCTGCCTGCCTTGCCCGCCTGCAGGCATGCGGCTGCGGTTCACCCGGGTGGGCCTTTCAAGCACTGCGCTCTGCGGGTTGGCCCGCACAGCGCTGCCGCCCGCTTTCTGCCCTGCCCCGCCCCGCCACTCCCGCCTGGGCCGCTCCCACCTCCTGCACATCCATGCTGCCGCATCTCCCTCATGCCAGAGCCCTGCCCTTCCGCTGCGCCTCCTGCCCGCCGCCGCAGGGCGTGAACAAGGCTGTCATCCTGGGCCTGGTGGATGAGCTGCTGAGCAAGAAGGAAGTCAACATCTGGTGGCTGCCCGACTCCCTGGAGCGCATCTTCTACGTCAACATCATCTCCCTCTTGCTCTCCGTGCTGGACGAGGTGGTGGAGGGCATGAGCGTGAACTTCGCGGGGGTGAGCTGCCGCCGCTGCTGCTGCTGCTGCTGCGATGAAGTGACCTGCCTGCACACGCCCCGGCCTGGGTGCATCAAAGCTGCTGTCGGGCATGGTTTGCCGGGTGAGGCGCCCACCCGCCCACCCCCGTTACCCCTCGTCCTGCCTCCCCACCGCCTGCCCCTCTGCAGCACAACGTGAAGCTGCAGCTGACTTACCTCGACCTGGATGGCGAGCCTGGCAGCCAGAAGGTCCCCAAGCTGGAGCTGCTGCCCGCCTCGTGATGCGAGCTGCGGAGGGGAGGCCTGTCGGCAGTACCTGCTGGCCGCTGGCTGGGCCTGAGACTTGTTTCACACTGACAGACGCTGCAATTGGCTGCAAAGTGCCCTACGCGACGCATCTTTCACTCGAGGGGACAGACAACTGGAATGGATCTCTTGTAAATTCACGCAGCATGCATCGGCAGCAGGGATGTATGAGGATGAATATTTATGAGTGAGAGGATGAAAGGGATGAAATGCCGAGGGGTGCCGCCATTAGCAGCATATGTGTGGCATCGTGCAACGTCGAGCGCAGCGCTGCGGTGGGGCAGATTGCGGTGGTGCTGGGCGCTCGTCCTGGTTGCTGGCTGGGTGGTGGCCGCAGTGCAAATCTCGCCATCAAGCTCCCAGCCGGTAGCTCCAGCCTCCCACAGCCAGGTGGCACAAGCTCACAGCAGGCCGGAGGGGATCAGGACCTGGTCCACCACATGAACGATAGACCTGCCGGCCGCTATGTTGGCGGCGGTGACCTGCGGTGCAGGCAGAACACGACGGGTGGCGGGTGGGTGGGCACGGGCAGGGACACGAAAGAGTAGTGGTGAGGACCGAGCAGCGTCCGGCGGGCGTGTGTGCATGCGCACAGGCGCTGGGTGGGAGGTGGTGGGCGCGCAGCAGGGAAGGCGCTGCTGCGCCCTTGCAGCTGCTGCAGGCCCTTTCACAGCCGCCCAGCACTTCGGACCCCACCGGGATACGGCAGTGCCTCACTGAGTCACCTTGGCGACCTGGTTGGTGGAGGTGACAATGCGCACGCCCAGGGTCTTCTGCTTGAGGATGCCCAGCTGGCCGGGCACGCCCTTGAGCGCGGTTTGTACCAGCTGCACCATCATGGTTGGCGGCGTGCGTGGCGGTGGGGCAGGCGCGGGCAGGCAGCACGTCAGCGAACTGTTCGGGCTGCTCAGCACCCCTAAGGCCCGCTGCGCAAGGCTGCTGCACCCCGCCATGGACAGGAGGCGGATGCCAGGCGTGGCGCGGGAGCGGGCAGCCGGGCGCTGTGCGAGCCGCCCTGCAGGCTGCGGGGCCTCACCTGGGCGCTCTTCAGGGCGCGGCTGGACACAGCGGCGCCAGAGATCACGTGGTTGAGCAAGACCTGCGGCAAGCAGCCAGAGGCACAATTGATTTTACTGGAAACCAACAGGTTGGTTTGCCGCCAAGCGGAACCATGACAGGCTGGCCAGCCCTGGTTGCACTGCCCACATGCACTGCGGCGGCGCCGGCCCGCTCACCGAGGTGACCAGGGCCTTGTTCCCCAGCAGATCCTCGGCGGACAGGTCCAGATCCTCCAGCAGAGCCTCAAAGGCGGCGTCTGCGGGCGGCGGCGGCGGTGGCGGAGGTAGGCGTGCGGGCATGGGGGTGGGAGCAGGCGGGCGCCGGCCGCGGGCGGGCAGCAGGCCTCGAGAGGCCGACACGGCGACGGGATACCACCTGGAGCGGGACTTAAACTCACTGGGGGGCGCAAACACCGTCAGCTTGGCCCTCCTGTTGGACAGCAGTGCCAGGATTGCCTTGTCGGCGGCCTGCGGGCACCATGGGCATGTGGAACAGCACAACTGTGAGGTTACCCAGGGAGTTCATGATGGGTGGCGGCCGTAATCGGGGGCGGGCTGTGCATGCGACCACAACGGTGCCCCGGCCATGGAGCAGCCGGCCATGGCATGCACGGCAGCTGGGCGGCCGGCCATGGCATGCACGGCAGCTGGGCAGCCGCGTCCTGGAAGCGCCAGCATGGCAGCTGCGGCGGCAGCTGGGCGGGCGCACCCACCTGCACCGCCGCCAGCAGCAGGCTGAAGTCCTTGTTTCCGGCCACTGCAGCAGGTGGGGCAGGGACGTTCACAGAGTTTGAAGGCTTGATCAGCGGTGCACTGGATCATGTAGTACCTTCCAGCTGAGCTTTGGCGGCGCTGGCGGCGCTCGGTCCCGGTCACCCATCACCACACCACACAACCTCTCACCCAGCTCAGCCACGGTGGCAGGCGGCTTGGGCTTTGCGGCATCTGCGCAGAGCAAGGAAAACGGCAGAAGAGGCTGGTGTACCGGCCGTACGAGCAAGAAGCTGTGGCATCTGACAGGTAGGCCTCCCGGTAAGGATGTGCCCCATGATGGGCATGATGGCCCCCCACCTGGAGGGTCATTGGGGACATCATCCTCAATCATGCATCATTCTCCCTCCCGTTTGTTCTGTTGGCATCCCAGCAACCGTAATATGCTTTCTAGGACATGAGCCACCACTTTAGGGTGAAGGTGGTTAGCAAGACCACGGCCCCCAGGCCTCTAGACGGGCCACAGCCAAAAAGATCCCGTGCAAGTAGACCAGGACAACAAGCTCCCTTCAATGTGCCAGGGCAGGCCAGGCGGCGGGGTGAGAGGGATGACAACGAGGATGAGCGAGCACCCAGCGGCTTCTTAGGCTGGGGCGACCGGCAAGGACGCAAACGTGATCACTGGGAGGCTCGGCTCGGAGCGGACGTGGATGCCTTCTTGGCCTCTCTGCCGGGCCGGGCGGCGCAGCAGCGGTAGGAGCGCCAGCAGCAGCTCCAGCAGCGGCAAGCCCAGCTGGCCAGCATGGAGCCGCTTCCTTGCCACTTAGCAGCAGAAAATGGCAGCTGCTGTGAGTTGCACAAGACGGGCAGCCAGGGCAGCTGTGTT